ACCCTATTTTAAAGCCCAACTACCAATTTGACCTTACTTTTTCAGGTTTGCTTATTTGACCCTCTTTTTTGAAATTGAAGTTTCCGTTTGACTCTGTTTAGACTTCACCGTTGGAACAACATTTAGAAAAAAGAAAAAAAAAACATACTACCCCAAAGTGACAAAAATACCCCCATATTACTAATTAACCCTATCCCCACCTCTCCATCCCAAATTCCCAATCCCCACATCTTCAGTTTTTAGTCGCCGGCGATGGCGAGTGCTGCGGCCGACGGAGGAAGCGGTGGCATCGGCGCGCAGGAGGAAGGAGCGGTGTCGGCGGCAGCTGCCGTGCTTGAAGCGGACAGAGGGAGCGGCGGCGCCGGTGGCTGCCGGGCTCGGAGCAGAGGGAGGGAGTGGCGACGGTGGCGCGAGGGCCCTCCTCATCGCCGACCCAACGCTTCCCCTTGTTAACGACCAAATTTGGTAATATCAGCATCGGAAAAGAGGATTAGATCGAAGTGGAGTCGAAGGCGGAGATCGATTCGAGAATAGAGCAAGAATCGGCTGGAGTCCAGATCGGCTACGATTAGGATCGGCTGGATCCGAGTCGGACTGAGTAAGTTGATATAGCCGATTCTGATAATACGACTTGGTATACGATATCAGGTTGAATTAAGATGCTTCAAGATGGTTGCCGCACATGGATAGAGTCTTGAGAAGGCAATTGTATCTATTAATTAGGACATTTTATGTAATTTCCTTAGAGATATGTTTAGGGAAAAAGTCTGCCGCAAAGACTTATGGTATCTTAGAGTTTGTTAGAGATAAGAGTCGTGTCCGATATGGACATAGTTTGTAATTTTCGGGTATAAATAGACCCCGAACTATCACGCCCAGAAATTCCCGAATAGAATTCTAAGTAGAATGTGCATTAAAATCCCCGTCCATTACCGGCCGGGGTACACAAACGACAAAGTTAACATATAGATCCACGTCTTACAAATATTATAAAAGTCTTACATAAATGCAGCGGAAAATTAAAAGATAACTGGAGCTAAGCCTTGACTTGGACTGCAGCGGGAACACCACTCCACAGGCATTCTCGACGGCACGGACGAAGCCTACTCCTCAGAGAAACCACCATCTGATGCATACTCAAACTCTGGGGGTTTGGGGAAAATAAAGCAAGACTAAGTACAACCACCGTACTCAGCAAGTCATACCGGAACAGGGGGTATGATGCAGGATATTACCAAAGGATAGCTAGAGAGGTTCTTTTGTATAAAGCGAGCATTTATAAACAGTAGTTGAAAGCAGGAAAATCAGGTGTAATAATTAATCAATATTAACCATCCACTGTCCAACGCTATACCACGTTGCAACAGGCCCAACCAACCACCTGAACTAATCAGTTCCATCAGACTAAACTAGGGTGAGACTAATCACGGTGAATCTCGTTGACCGCCCATAACTGCGGACACGGCTATTCGAATAGTTTTACTCTGATCAGAGGTGTACAACTGTACCCACAAGACACAGCCCCACGACATGTTTCCATACGCCGACATGCCACCACGACATACCGGAAAGAGGCCGTGACAGGACTCTTCGCATAACCCCATCTAGCCAAGCACACCACACCTCAGGTTTCACCCCCGTCCCCAGCGGGCAACGGGCAGTCCCCTCTCGTGCCTAGGAGAATCCGGAAGCAACAGAGGCCGTCGCAGGGCCCGCCCGGCTCCATCACGCCCACCCTTGCCTGGATGCGTCAGCTAGAGGAAAGCTACACTACAAGCCCAGCCGTTGCCCACGCTAGCTTGTGATAAGTACGTGGAATTCTTCCAGGGGTTTCCCGCGAACCGATCCTTAAGTGCCATGGGCGCGACCATCGAAGCCAAGCACCCACAGCCCATCGTTTAATATATTTTAATTAACCAGCACCGGAGCGGTGGTATTAACCAACATCATTACTAGAATCAGATATCTATGCTTTAATGTATTTTCCCCACTGTGTGCTAGTTGAACTAAGCATGGCTAAGCAATCCCTAGTCTAATATCAAGTCATGTTATATCCCCAAGCTAACAACGGAGCATGATACAAAACTAGTATGGCTGTAACAGTAGGTAAACATCCCATGGTGACATTATAAAACGATGCAGCATTTAAAGTAAAACGGTAGAGCATTTGTAATATAGGATCAACATGTTCAAGTGACAAGCATGACTTGCTTTGCTCTACTGCTGGAGGAACCTCGGCGACTATTTCAAAGTACACCGGAGCATCCGGAGAGCCGGAATCTAAGCGACATACAAAGCAAACAATACAAACAGGCTATAAGACTACTGAAACAAAGAACAAAACCATTTTTAATGGATTCTTCACATTCTTCTTGATTTACTGAGACTTGAATGGGCTTAAACGGAGCTCGGATGAATTAGATATGAATTTTAGAAGATTCAATGTGCTTTTACTATAAACAGAAAAATCCTTAATTGATTTATTGCGTAATAAATAAAATCCCGGGGAGAGAGAGGGTGGCGCCGACATGCGGGCCCCACATGGCAGTGACTCGGGGAGGGCGGTCCACGGTGGACCGTGTCCATGGACCGGGGAGGAGCGGCGCACCACGTGGTGCACACGTGGTGCCGACGCGGCGCACACGCGGCGGCCACGTGGCAGCCACGCGGGCAGCCGGACCGATGGCCCCGATATACCCGGCGGCAGGGAGCTCGCGGCCAGCGCGCGCGGGCTGCTCAAGCCGACCCGGGGCCATGGCGCGGCGGCGGCGCGGCACCGGCGGCAACCAGCGGACAGCGGTGGCGATTCGGCAGACGGCGACGGCGCGACGATGGCTAAGCGGCGGCGCTACTAGGGAAAAGAGAGGAGGAAGAAGGAAGGGGAAGGAGGGATGTCCTCACCGAAGGGGTCCGACCGGCCTGGAGGGAGACGACGGTGACCGGCGACGAGGAATGACAGAGGGAGGTCGACAAGCGGCGGACGGGGTCTGGGACGACCTAAGGAACGAAATGGAGAGGATTAGTGAGGGAGAGAGACCATAGAGGGCGGGAATGCCGGCCGAAGACGGCGGCCATGGCGTTTCTTACCGGCGCACGACGGGGATGAGGCTCCGGCGGCTAACCTCGACGGAGGAGGGGTGGACGAGGTGGACCTCGGCCGCGCGAACCCAACGGTGGCGATGGCGCGGTGCGGCGGCGGCCCTAGCAGCGGCTAGAGGCGGCCGGAGTAGAGGAAGAGGCGGCGGCTGGTGGGTGCACGGTGCGGGAGCGATGGAGAGCTCTGGAGAGGCCGGCGCAAAAAGGAAAAATGAGAAGGACGCGGGGATGGATTATATAGGGGCGGAGAGGTCGGGAACGGCCTGGAGTGGCCCGATTTCGCCGGCCGACGTGGGGAGGTGGAGGTGGAGAGAGAGGCGGGATTCGAAATTCGAATCTCGGCCATCTCGGGGGCGCGGGCGAGCGGGAGAGGGGGTTGAGGGGTGCGGGAGGGGCGGACGCACACGCGGGTGTGGCCGACGTGGCGCGGGGAAGGCGGGCGCGGGCGGTTGCGAGGCGGCGGCTGCAGACGGTGGGCGGCCAAAGGTTAGGGATGGGCCTAACAGGTGGGCCCTACCTGTCAGCGCCCGAGGGAGAGGGGAGGCTCGGGCGAGCGGATGGGCTGTGGCCTTCGGTCGGCCCAGCAACGGCGCGGGAGGTGGAGGAAATGGGCCGGCGGCCCATTTGGGAAAAAGGAGGGGACAAAGGAAGAAGAAAAAAAGAAAAGAATTTCCAAGGATTAAATAATGCTGGTGCTCATTTTTAATTGGTTAAAATTATTTCTAGAGCTCTAAAAATTCCACTAAAAATCTTGTTAGCATATTTCGACATATAGAACTCAAGAAAAATCCCACATGCCAATTCCGATTATTATTTGCATTAATTTATTAGGGTTTGTCTTGCTTTGACACCGGTATTTTCTCTAGGTGATTTATAATTTTCATTTAGGCTTGGGAAAGAAACTTCAGGGTGTGACACGAACCCCATGTAATCAGTTAACACACTCGTTCAATACAATTTCGGTGCATCACCACCCTTTTGCTTTTGTTTTATTTCGACGAGTCCTTGCTTTCGGGTTGAGCTGCATCGGTTTCGATCTTCAACAAGAGGTAAAACTTGTTATGATGGCTTGCGTTCTCGGGATTAGTGCTTCCATCTTTATGATACTCTAATCATGTTTATGTAATTCATCGAGTTATCATATATCTTACATAATCTCTGGCAATATCATTATCTAACCTACAATCGACTAACATCTGTCAGTAGAGGGCAGCCGATTAGGTTAGATTTTGATGTTGATTTAGATTATATAAGATCTCCACCACTCTATGAAACTTCCAGCGGCTTGATTGTCTAGATATTGTTCTTCTTTTCATACTTAATGCTGCATCACTTGAGTTTGATCTATTAAGTCGTGCTTAGAATATCAGTCTCTAGCCTGCCTTCTAGTTGCCGATTAGGGTAGTATTGGAGTTTCAGCCGATCTTATCTGGTTTAACTACATTTGCTCTATATGCTTCGTTGACATGTTAAATCTGCCCTTTATGTCAAGATATTATTGCATCTACGTATATTAAACTTTGGTTTGGTATATTCTGCTTGTTTTAATATCTTAACATAGAACTGTATCAGAGTATTAGCCGATACATGCTAGATCTATCTGATCAGCTATGCTGTAAACATATATAGTTCGGTTATTAATATATATTTCGATCTAAGTGATTTATATTGTCTCGGCATAGCGACCGATCTATCCCAATCACTTGATTTAAATATATATCGATGTAAAAATTATATATTGTTAATATCTACAGCCGATCGAATAGATTTAGTCCTTTATTATCTATTTCCAGCTGCCGATCAAATCGACTGGTACGCTAGCATACCCGAAGGCGAGTTTTGGACCTGCACTGGAGTTAAACAGATCTCCCAGGCCTCGTGTTTTACGTCAACACTCTTTTGGCATGCCCGATGGGACCGATAAGAAGTCAGACAAGCAATTCCTTCTCATGGCCGAGAAACCACCGCTATCACCATCTTCGGCTAGTTCAGGCACTGTCAAGGAGAAGATCCAGAAGTTAGGTTTGACCGACGTCAATGAAGGGAACGTCGTACCCATCGATCCAGAAAAATTCACACCTGATCAAAAGAAAGATTTTGAAGCGATGATGCAGGCAGCACGTGATCAATTCTTGAACTCATTCATGCAGACTCGCAAGGGGACACTTGTTCAGAAGTATAAAATAAAGGTGGTTCTTGACGATCCCGAGACTGGTTCCTCTAAGGATGGAGAAGGAAAACAAACTCAAGATGGCTCGGCTCAACTGAATGACAAAGGTGCTACAGATGGTTTTCCACCAAATCAAGGTGACAACTCTCAAGGGGTACATGGGGTTCAAGGTGATGGTTTTAGGGGGTTCAAGGTGATGGTTCACAGGGAGTTCAAGGTGGAGGTGTTAATCAAGACGACAATGCAACGCAGTTGCAGTTCAACAACATTCAAGATCAGGTTGACTATGCTGTAAGTCACGCCCGGAAATTCACTAGTAATTTCCAAACTTATTTGTGCATAAAATCCTCGTCCAGGAATCAGCCGAGGTACACAAACTGACAATTTAATATACAAATCCATCTTAATAATAATGTTACACGCTTACAAAAGAAAAGAAAATAGCAGCGGAATAACGGTCTAGCGATGGCTTCAGCTCCAATCCCACAGGCAGCTCAACTGGGGTATAAGCCAAACGTCTTCTCCTTCTGGATCCTTTTTCTTCAACTGAGGTTGATTGATTATTGCAAGAATGAGCATATGACATACTCAACAAGCCACACAGCAAATATGCAAGTGCACAAGGATACCAAAGGATGGCATAATATAGGCTCATTTGCAAAAGCAGCATTTAGCAAAACATTTAAGAGAAGTAAAACAGTGGAGTAATTAATCAGAAATTTTAATCAACACTGAATAGCACACCCATGCTGCACAGGCCCAACCATCCTGAACAACCATACCCGGCTGTACAGATCTAACTCCAAACCAGGAGCTAAACAAATTATTACCAGATATAGTATCCATAATTATTGTGAGAGGTGTGAGACTAATCACGAAAAACATTGCTCAACCCGCCCATAACCGCGGGCACGGCTATTCGAATAGTTTTACTCTGGCCAGAGGTGTACCACTGTACCCACAAGACACAGCCTCAACATCATGTCTACCATGCGTCGCGATACTGGAAAGTGCCCGAATAGAGGCTGTGACAATACCCTCTGCACAACACAACTCACCACAATGCACCATTCCTGGATCATAATCACCCCCTTATAAAACAAGGCATGGCCTCCCCAGCGACCCCCGTGGGCTTATCTCCGCCACTTCTCAGTCTGGTGCTCCGCAATGAATCATATTATACAAAAGGTAAAGCCGTTGCCCACGCTGGCTTGTGGTTGGCACGGTTAATGTTTCACAACAGTAGCTCGCGAACCGGTCCTTAATTGCCATGAGCACGACTCTCAAAACCATGTGCTCACAACCCACCATTATCAAGTTTTAGTTGGCAAGTAATTAATTAACCAATCACGATTGACCATCGTGAACTATCATTAAGCCATCATTAAATAATAGTGAGTCATAAGTTATCCCAATAGTGTGCTAATGTTTCTAAGCATGGCTAAGCAATCATATCTAATATCTAGCTGAACCAATATATAAAGCTCAACTAGTCAAGTTATAATAACCCAAGGTATCAAGGAATAAAGTAATCAATGCAAACAGGCCATAACAAAGGAATAGATTCACACCACCCAGTGACATTCGAAAATAAATGCACAGTTGAAATAAATAGAGAATTTAAATATAGGATCAACATGCTCAAAGGATTGTGTTTAGGATCTGTGTGGCTTGCCTTGCAATAATCGGTCTTCAATTAATCTTCTTGAATACCTCCAGCACACTCGCGAACCTTCGCAACGACGGAAACGACAAGCTAACACGCAAAACGAAGAAAAAGACTAATAAAAACCAAATAAACAGTAATATAAAGTAAACAAACATGTAGATCATGATTTTAGATGAATTATGAGACTTGAACGGCCTCATTCTGACTTCAAATGAATTTATTACGAATTTTACAAGATTAAATCTAATTAAAGCCCATTTAAAAAGAATTAAATAAATTTAATTCTATTTATGGATAATTTTAATATGTAGATCTTTATTTTACACAACCTTTGCAACTTGAACCACATTAAACTGAGTTACAAAGAATTAGTTATGAATTTTTAAAGATTAAATCGGATTAAAACATTTATATAGATTTTAATTGAATTATGACGCAATAATGAATTATTTTTGAAAAGGAAAAGAGGATTATTGCGTCAACGGGCTCGGGTTCACGGTGGACCGGGTGCACGGCGGCGGCTCACGGAAACGAACGGCCGAGATCTACCCTATCCACAACGAACGGCCAAGATCTAAACGGTCTACGACCGGTCTATGGCGGACGGCAACGATGACGTCAGCGATGACGTCATCACCGGCGACGGCTCGGGCGGCGCATGCTCGCCGGCGAACGATGGCGCGACGACGCAAACGGAGGACACCAACGGGTAGAGGGTGACGCGGCGAACTCACCGGTGACCAAAACAACGGCGGAAGAGCAACAGACGGCGCCGGCGACGAGGAAGAAGCGGCGACGGTCTTCGGGTCGACGGTGACGGCGGCGCTCCGGCGGTCTTCGGCGGCGGCGAAGCGGTGGACGGGGATGGCGACGACCTCGCGATCCCGATGGTGGCGACGGCGACCGACGACGGCGGCTGCAACGGCGGCGCGGCGCGGCTGAACCGATGGCAACGACGGCGACGGCTAGGGCTACGCGGAGGCGGTGCTAGACGCGACGGCGGGCTAAGGCAAAGGTGGCGGCGGATAGAGGAGAGCTCGGGGGTGCTTATAAAGGGGCTAGCGAGCGGCGATGGAGGCCCTCGGCGATCGGCGGCGAGAAGGAAAGCTAGGGTTCTGAGGAGAGAAGTCGATCCAAATCGAACTCGAATCCTTGGATTTCCAAACGAAAGTAGCCGACGATTCCATAAGAGAAAAGGAAGCGGAGATCGAGAAGATCATTTTCCCTCTATTGATTTCACCGGATCGGGAAAGGATAGACCGGATTGGAAAGCGGCGGCGGCGCGGCTCGGCTAGGGTTCGGCCGGGCGACGGCTGGAGGAGGAAGACAAGTCCGACAGGTGGGACCCACCTATCAGCGACTGAGAGAGAGGAGGAAGGAGCGCGGCGGGCTGCGGCTCGGCTGCGGGCCGACTTGGGCCGGGGAGGAGAGAGAGAGCGGTTTTGGGCCGGCTTTCGGCCCAAAGCCAAAAGAGACTTTTAAAAACCTTTTTCAATTTAAATTATTCATGAAATGATATTCCATTGATTAAAAATACTTCCTTGGCTCAAATAAATCCTAGAAAAATCTAGGAACTATAGAATCAAGTAAAGTATTTAATGAAATTTTATCTGGCCCCATTTTATATTGGAATTTATTAATTAAAATTAGATCTTCTCTTTTAGGCTTTTAAGATCATTTCTAATAATTCCTTTTAAACAACAATTTATAATTTAAGGATTTTTAAACAAGAAAAGCTCTTAACAATTATAATTAGATCATTAATGATCAAATAATTACTGAACTGTTCTTTGTATCATTTAGGAATTGAGCTCCGAAAAATCCGAGAAAATTTCAGAGAGTATACTTAATCATGGAGAATTTAATAAAAATTAAATCCATCCATGCTTTATATTTAGGAAATTTTATTTTCCACATTTAACTTCACTTGTAAATTAAAGAACATTTAATATAAATTCTAATAATAATTTATTAAATAATTTATAAATCCTGAAACAAAAATCAGGATGTGACACTGTACACCATGCTTTGATCAATCAATCTGAGAAATATGGTGAAGTCAATGATTGATGGTTCAATGGCCGAGTATCAGGTTACAGGACCAGTTTACCTACAAGGAGGGGTGTTCCCGAATTATCGGCCGTTAATCACCGATAATCTACCAGTCGCCAGTCAGTCCCTCTTAATGCACCATCAGCTCAGCCGACGATACCAGCATCGGCTCCCGCACCTACTGCACCACCTTCAGCCCCAGGCCAATTAATTAATCCCCGATTGTTGGTGAGAGAACAGCCACAGCACACTGGACAGAATGTGAATCGGCTAACGCAAGACCAGGTTGCATCTATGTTCTTACGTCCTCAACACACCATTGATCCAGCCCAGCAGCAGCCGATTCAGCAGACACTACCAAGGCAGCAGGTTGTGCAACCAGTTCAGCAAACACCTCCAATCCAACATGTTGTGCAACTAGTTCAGCCAAACACCTCCAATCCAACAGGTTGTGCAACCAGTTCAGCAGACGCCACCAAGACGACAGGTCTTGCAGCTGATTCAGCAGACACTGTTGAGGCAACAGGTTGTCCAGCCGATTCAGCAGCAAGGTCCGATGAATGCATCGGCTGGGTTTGCAACACCTGGTGGTCAACCCATGCAGCATGCCGCAAATCAGGTTGTCCCAGAACACTTGGTTCATCATGTGCAGCCAGATGGCACGGTTGTTCCTCAAGTTATTCCTGAACATTTGGTGTGCAATATTCAGCCAGACCTTCAAAATTACCAGGGGGGCAACTTGAATTATCAATATCACCCACCATCACCTCATGTTCAGTACCAGCAAGCAGGATCGGCTCAGCCCCAATTTGTTCCTCAATACAATCAATTTGAGCCTATGCCACAACAACTTCAAGGAACACCTCAACAGCGGCCATGGGCCGATTTGATTGTAGATGTCATGAAGGAGCAGTTCGGGCTTAGGCCGAAAGACGCTGGAAACCTATATCGACAGCCATATCCTGAATAGTTTGAGAGAGTTCCTCTGCCTAACCGATTTAAAGTTTCAGATTTTTCAAAGTTCTCAGGGCAAGATAGTACATCAACTTATGAGCACATTAGCCGATTTTTAGCTCAATGCGGTGAAGCATCGGCTGTAGATGCCTTGAGGGTTCGGTTATTCCGGTTGTCTTTGGCTGGATCGGCCTTTACTTGGTTTTCTTCTTTACCGTATGGATCAATTAATAGTTGGGCTAATTTAGAAAAGCAGTTTCATAGCTATTTCTATAGTGGGATTCATGAGATGAAATTGTCTGATCTAACATCGATCAAGCAAAAGCATGATGAACCAGTGCATGAGTATATTCAGAGATTCAGGGAGATGGGAAATAAGTGTTACAGCTTGAGTTTGACTGATGCCCAGTTAGCCGATTTGGCTTTTTAGGGTATGATTGCTCTAATTAAGGAGAAGTTCTCATATGAAGACTTTGAAAGCTTGTCACACCTTACACAGAAGGTAGCCTTGCATGAACAAAGGTATGCAGAGGCTAGGAAAAATTCTAGAAAGGTTAATCATGTTTGCCCTTATATATATGGATCGGACGATGAGGATGATGATTATGAGATAGCTGCAGCTGAGTGGGTAAGGAGTAAAAAGGTTATACCATGCCAATGGGTAAAGAGCTCAGGAAAAAAGGAGAGGTATGACTTTGATATCACTAAGGCTGACAAAATTTTCGACTTGCTACTCCGAGAGAAGCAGATTCAACTTCCTGCCAGTCACACAATTCCATCGGCTGAAGAATTAGGTAAGAAAAGGTATTGCAAGTGGCATAATTCTGGGTCTCATATGACTAATGATTGCAAGGTCTTCAGGCAGCAGATCCAAGCGGCTATCGAAGGAGGCAAAATCAAGTTTGATGACTCTAAGAGGCCGATGAAGGTTGATGGCAATCCTTTTCCTGTTAATATGGTGCATACAGCTGGCCGAACAGCCGATCGGGGTCGTGCAAGGGGTTTTCAGGTGAATTCGGCTAAGATTATCAACAAATATCAGAGGAAGTATGACAAGCAGCAGGAGAAGCATCATGAAGAAGACGACGATGGCTTTGATCCTCATTGGGTTGTGAGTTCTTTAGATGTTGTTGGAATGAAGGTATGAGGTTGCAATCTATTGAAGACTGTCCTAGGTGCGGTGATATTGCCGAGAGCTCAAGCCGATCATATAGTAGGGGCAATCGGCTAAGGCAGACAAGAGTTCCTGTTCATCAAAGATTGGGTCCAGTGAATCAAGATCGTGGCTAAGAGGACAATGAAAACAAGAAAAATCAATGGTGTCCTTCTGGTATCTTTACGAAGAATCAAAAGAGAAGGGTTCAAAGATTGAGGAACAGGGAGCGCTTTCAGGAGGTCGAGCAGGAAATTAACCATTTGCTGAAGAAAACGAAGCCGAGGCGGGTGTGGCGTGTTAAGAATCAGGTTCCTGTAGCCGATGAAGCCACAGCTGATGAAGCAAAAAGGTTAGCTAAAGGAAAAAGCGTCGTAACTGCTTCGGTCAACATGGTTTTCACTTTGCCTGCCGAGTTTGGGATCAAGTAAGCCGATATCGATGAAGTTGAAGAAGAATCGGCTAAATTGATTTTGTCGCCAGGGCAGGTAGTTTTTGAGAAGCCAGAGGGGACAGAGAATTGACATCTTCAGCCATTGTATATAAATGGTTATGTCAATGGGAAGCCGATGTCCAAGATGATGGTCGACGGTGGGGCTACAATGAACTTGATGCCTTACGCTACATTCAGAAAGTTGGGCAGAAACGCTGAAGATCTCATCAAGACAAACATGGTGCTTAAAGACTTTGGCGGCAATCCATCAGAAACCGAAGGAGTTTTGAACGTGGAACTGACAGTCGGCAACAAAACCATCCCCACAACATTTTTTGTCATTGATGGGAAGGGTTCTTATAGCTTGTTGTTTGGAAGGGATGGGATTCATGCTAATTGTTGCATTCCTTCAACTATGCATCAATGCTTGATTCAGTGGCAAGGCGACAAGATTGAAATTGTGCCAGCCGACAGGTCAGTCAATGTTACACGTGCCGATTTAGCTCTTTGGGAGATGGATGGTCTTGATTGTTTATCTGGAAAAGTTTGGGATGGAGATTTTCTAAAAGTGTCCGATTCTGATATACAGCCAATTGAAGATGGAGAGCCCAAGCTATTATTTTGAGGGCGCCGTGGAGGATTCACATGTCTACAACAAGGACACGGTAGATGATCTCGATGACAAACAAGGGTAGGGTTTTATGTCGGCTGATGATTTGGAAGAAATTGATATAGGTCTAGGTGACCGACCAAGGCCGACGTTTATTAGTAAAAATTTATCTGCAGAATTTAGAACCAAGTTGATAGAGCTTATAAGAATTCAGAGATTGCTTCGCTTGGGAGTATTATGATCAAATCTTTATGGCTGAAGAAGATATTCATAAGACAACTTTCAGGTGTCCTGGTGCAATCGGCTTGTTCATATGGGTTGTGATGACTTTCGGCTTGAAGAGTGCTGGAGCTACATATCAAAGAGCCATGAATTACATATACCATGATCTAATCGGCTGGTTGGTTGAGGTTTACATTGATGATGTGGTTATTAAGTCTAAAGAAATAGAGGACCACATAGCCGATTTGAGGAAGGTTTTCGAGAGAACCAGAAAATATGGCCTGAAGATGAATCCGACAAAATGTGCTTTTGGCGTATCGGCTGGCCAGTTTTTGGGATTTCTTGTTCACGAGAGGGGGATCGAGGTGACTCAGAGGAGTGTTAATGCGATCAAGAAGATTCAGCCTCCAGAGAACAAGACAGAGCTGCAAGAGATGATCGGCAAGATAAATTTTGTTAGAAGATTTATTACTAATTTATCCGGTAGGTTAGAGCCTTTCACACCATTGTTCAGGTTGAAAGCCGATCAGCAGTTTACTTGGGGGGCAGAGCAGCAGAAAGCTTTGGATAATATTAAGGAATATCTTAGTTCTCCTCCCGTTTTAATTCCTCCATAGAAAGGAATACCTTTTAGATTGTATCTATCTGCCGGTGAGAAGTCAATCGGCTCAGTCTTGATTCAGGAGCTATATTGAAAGGAATGAGTTGTATTCTATCTTAGTCGTCGGCTCTTGGATGCTGAAACTAGATATTTCCCTGTCGAGAAGTTATGCTTGTGCCTATATTTTTCATGTACAAGATTGAGGCATTATCTACTATCCAATGAGTGTACTGTCATATGCAAGGCTGGTGTTGTCAAATAGATGTTATCGGCTCCAATTTTGAAAGGAAGGGTTGGAAAGTAGATATTCTCTTTAACTGAGTTTGATCTTCGGTATGAGTCGCCGAAGGCAATTAAGGGACAAGCTATAGCCGATTTTATTGTGGAACATCCTGATGATTCAATCGGCTCGGTCGAGATTGTGCCATGGACTTTATTCTTTGATAGGTCGGTATGTACTAATGGTTGTGGCATTGGCTTGGTTATAATTTTCCCCTCGAGGGGCATGTTTCGAGTTTGCTTATACTATTAAACCTTATGCGACTAATAATCAAGCTGAGTATGAGGCGGTGCTCAAAGGGTTGTAATTACTCAAGGTAGTTGAAGCCGATGCTATTGAAATCATGGGGGATTCTTTGCTTGTAATCAGTCAATTGGCAGGAGAATATGAATGCAAGAATGATACATTAATGGTTTATAATGAGAAGTGCCAAGAACTGATGAAGGAATTTCGGCTGGTTACTTTAAAGCATGTGTCTCGAGATCAAAATATTGAACCTAATGATTTGGCCCAGGGGGCATCGAGGTATAAGCCGATGATCAAAGATGCTAAGGTTGAAATTGCAGCAATAACAGCCGATGATTGGAGGTATGATGTGCATCAATATTTACATAATCCATCTCAATCGGCTTCTAGGAAATTGAGATATAAGGCGTTGAAGTACAGTCTATTGGATGATGAGCTTTACTATCGGACGATTGATGGGGTGTTGCTTAAGTGTTTGAGTACCGATCAGGCTAAAAGTTGCAATCGGCGAAGTTCATGAAGGAATTTGTGGTACTCATCAATCGGCTCATAAGATGAAGTGGTTACTTCGGCGTGCAGGGTATTTTTGGCTGTCAATGCTGGAAGATTGTTTCAGAATATTACAAAGGGTGTCAAGATTGTCAGAAGTTTGGAGCAATTCAGCGAGTGCCGGCGTCGGCTATGAATCCTATTATTAAGCCATGGCCATTCAAAGGTTGAGGAATTGATATGATCGATATGATAAGTCCACCATCGAGTAAAGGACATAAGTTTATATTGGTGGCGACCGATTATTTCACCAAGTGGGTAGAGGCGATTCCTTTAAAGAAAGTTGATTCTGGGGATGCAATTCAGTTTGTTCAAGAGCATATAATCTACCAGTTTTGTATTCCTCAAACTATTACAACCGATCGAGGCTTAATTTTCGTGTCCGATGAGTTTGTTCAGTTTGCTGATAGCATGGGTATCAAATTGTTGAATTCTTCCCCATATTATGCACAAGCTAATGGGCAAGCTGAGGCATCTAACAAGAGCCTGATCAAATTGATTAAGAAGAAAATTTCTGATTATCCTCGGCAATGGCATACTCGGTTGCCGAAGCATTGTGGTCTTATCGGTAGGCGTGTCATGGATCGATCCAAGTCCCTCCTTATAAACTTGTTTATGGACATGAGGCTGTTTTGCCATGGGAAGTTAGAATCGGCTCTAGAAGAACGGAATTGCAAAATACTTTAACAGCAGATGAATATTACAACCTTATGGCCGATGAGAGGGAGGATCTAGTCTAGTCGCGATTGCGAGCTCTTGCAAAAGTTACCAAGGATAAGAAGCGTGTTGCTCGGCATTACAATAAGAAAGTAGTACCCAAAGATTTTTCGGAGGGGGAACTTGTATGGAAGTTGATTTTGCCGATTGGAACTCGGGATAACAAATTCAGTAAGTAGTCGGCGAATTGGGAAGGACCGTTTCA